CAATTTCTTTATTCATTATGTTATGCTCACCACAAGTATAGATGAAAATGTATCTTAATACAACCATTTAAAAATATGTTTTAAAGTTTAGTTTACATAAAAATGACTGCTTAATCTTGTCAAACAGCTCTTAATAGTTCCCTGAACTGTTTCTTTTAGTGGTGTCTGTTTTTGTGCCAGTACCATATTGTCTTGATGATGACAGCTTTGTAATAGAGCTGGAAGTCCGGAATTGTGATGCTGCCAGCTTTGCTTTTCTTTTTCAACATTCCTCTGGCTATTCGGGGTCTTTTCTGGTTCCATACAAATTTTAGGATTATTTGTTCCATTTCTTTGAAAAAAGTGGATGATATTTTGACGGAGATTGCATTGAATGTGTAGATTGCTCTAGGTAGCATTGACATCTTCACAATATTTGTTCTTCCAATCCATGAGCATGGAACGTTTTTCCATTTCTTTGTGTCTTCCTCAATTTCTTTCATGAGTATTTTATAGTTTTCTGAGTACAAATCCTTTGCCTCTTTGTTAGATTTCTTCCTAGGTATCTTATGGTTTTGGGTGCAATTGTAAATGGGATCAACTCCTTAATTTCTCTTTCTTCTGTCTTGTTGTTGGTGTATAGGAATGCCACTGATCTCTGTGCATTGATTTTATATCCTGCCACACTACTGAATTCCTGTATGAGTTCTAGCAGTTTTGGGGTGGAATCTTTTGGGTTTTCCACATAAAGTATCATATCATCTGCAAAGAGTGAGAGTTTGACTTCTTCTTTGCTGATTTGGATGCCTTTTATTTCTTTTTGTTGTCTGATTGCTGTGGCTAGGACTTCTAATACTATGTTGAATAGCAGTGGTCAGAGTGGCCATCCCTGCCATGTTCCTGACCTTAGGGGGAAAGCTCTCAGTTTTTCCCCATTGAGAATGATATTCACTGTAGATTTTTCATAGATGGCTTTTATGATATTGAGGTATGTACCCTCTATCCCTGTACTCTGAAGAGTTTTGATCAAGAAAGGATGCTGTACTTTGTCAAAAGCTTTTTCTGCATCTATTGAGAGGATCATATGATTCTTGTTCTTTCTTTTGTTAATGTATTGTATCACATTGATTGATTTGCAGATGTTGAACCAACCTTGCAGCCTAGGGATAAATCCCACTTGGTCGTGGTGAATAATCCTTTTAATGTACTGTTGGATCCTATTGGCTAGTATTTTCGTGAGAATTTTTGCATCCATGTTCATCAGGGATATTGGTCTGTAATTCTCCTTTTTGATAGGGTCTTTGGTTTTGGGATCAAGGTAATGCTGGCCTCATAAAATGAGTTTGGAAGTTTTCCTTCCATTTCTATTTTTTGGAACAGTTTCAGAAGAATAGGTATTAATTCTTCTTGAAATGTTTGGTAGAATTCCCCTGGGAAGCCATCTGGCCCTGGGCTTTTGTTTGTTGGGAGGTTTTTGATGACTGCTTCAATTTCCTTAATGGTTATAGGTCTGTTCAGGTTTTCTATTTCTTCCTGGTTCAGTTTTGGTGGTTGATATATTTCTAGGAATGCATCCATTTCTTCCAGATTATCTAATTTGCTGGCATACAGATGCTCATAATATGTTCTTATAATTGTTTGTATTCTTTGGTGTTGGTTGTGATCTCTCCTCTTTCATTCATGCTTTTATTTGGGTCATTTCTCTTTTCTGTGTGATAAGTCTGGCCAGGGGTTTATCAATCTTGTTAATTCTTTCAAAGAACCAGCTCCTAGTTTTGTTGATCTGTTCTACTGTTCTTTTGGTTTCTATTTCATTGATTTCTGCTCTGATCTTTATTATTTCTCTCCTCCTGCTGGGTTTAGGCTTTATTTGCTGTTCTTTCTCCAGCTCCTTTAGGTGTAGGGTTAGGTTGTGTATTTGAGACCTTTCTTGTTTCTTGAGAAAGGCTTGTATTGCTATATACTTTCCTCTTAGGACTGCCTTTGCTGCATCCCAAAGATTTTGAACAGTTGTGTTTTCATTTTCATTTGTTTCCATGAATTTTTTAAATTCTTCTTTAATTTCCTGGTTGACCCATTCATTCTTTAGTAGGATGCTCTTTAGCCTCCATGTATTTGAGTTCTTTCCGGAGAACTGTTGGAAAGTTTTGAGCAAAGGAGTAACATAATCTGAATTTGGTTTTACCAGTATCACTTTGATATGTTCAAAATTAACTAGGATGGTAAAGGTGGAAGCAGGGGACAGACAGGCTAGGATGTTACTATAGAAATCTAGGTAAGAGGTGATGATGGTTTGGGCTGGATCTTTGCTTTAAGATTACTTTGGCAATGAGGAGAGAATGGAAACAGAGGTAATTACTAGGAGGCTGTTTCCAGGGATTAGAATCTAAAATGGAATAGTTTGTATGCAAATGAAGAAGAAATTGCAGAACATATACTGTGGGACTTAACAACTGCTTGGCTATAGGTAATGAAGGAGTGACATGGAAGTCTTAAACCTGGATAAATGGAATGTGGATATTACCATTAACATAAATGTTACTTACCCTCCTTTTTGAAAGTCTGTTCTGATCCTCTGAAACAGCATTTTTACCCCTTTGTGCTCATGTATTTCCATTGGTTATAATGGAACGCATTTTTCCTCCTGCCGTCCTCCTTGAAAGCTTAGAGAAATGGTTTGACTCTTAGAATTGTGGCAGTATTAAGAAGTAATTAGGAAGGTAAAATTTAAGAATTCATTTCCATATACATTTTATGTGGATTATAACCAATTAGGCACATGTGAGTTCAGTAGATTACATGTAAGACATGTAATCTTGGCAAGGACTTTGGGTGCCAGGGAATGCTCTTTGGTAAGATGCTTGACTTCCTGGGTAATGATGGAAAAAGGCAGTTACCTAAACGGGATATCTGTGAATTTGAGATTACCATGAACTGTTTCAATTCAGTAATTCAATCTTAATATACTAGATCTTGATTATACTAACTGAAAAGTTTATATGTTGACTGAGAGTTAGTGTGTAGTCATAACCAGATAGATCTGTGGTCCGGGCAGGTAACTTAGCTTCAGTTTCATAATTTGTAAAATGAGAGGTTTTGACCAGATCATCTTAAATTCCTTCCAACTTTAATATTCTCTAACTCTGTACTGTGAGATTAAGTATGGACAAAAAAGTTAATTTCAAAAAAACAAGTGGGGTTAGAGAAGAAAACTCAAATTTCTTCCCATAAGATGAGGTAGAAATATAACTAGCAATACTTTTTTTCTTGTTTCTGTCCCCCCTGACCAAACTGTCACCATACATTCAATTGAGATATAAATTTAAAGCATTCTAGACATATTTGTACCTTAAGCTAGATAATTTGACTGAATCAAATTATATTTTCCCTTTACATTCTCACTTTGAAGATACAGATGTGTCTTTGAGTTTATATCTCCAAAGGATAGAAAGAAAAGAAGTAATTGCTTGAAGAACTGTATAATCTGCCTACTAAAACAACAGGTGGACCGGTACATATCTGGATGGTGGCATGGCATCTGAGAATTTGACATTTCTCACTCTGATTTTACATTACAGGCAATCATGAAGCTTGCCATTGTACATAAAGATTTTCTTTAACTCAGTATGAATATTAAAGAGGAAATATGTAGAGATAGTCCTGTGTGAATTAATCTCTATTAAAATGGCTTCAGTTCTGATATGAATATTCACCCTTCTTTTTCCCTAGGCAATAAAATTTGATTGGGGTGTGATGAAGACATAGTACAAAAATGTAGAAGTATAGGTTCCTGAGGGAATCAATGGATTAAAATTAGAAAAAGAACTATACTTATAATAGTGTATTTGTCCCAGCTGATCCAGAGGAGAATGATCCTTTACAGCATTTGGTTGGTGGTGTTTGAAGACAATTTCATGAGATCCTGAGACCAAATAATTCTCACTTACTTAGAACTCATAATGAATTCTCCTTACCAGTGAGATGACCACATTTTTCTTGGTAAAAAGGGTTGTGAGCAAGCTTGACAAAGTTGATGCACATCATTCAGCTTCTGTTGTAAGACATAAATGCATAGGATGTGGCAGAAAGATTAATTTCAATTCTTAACTGGTGACTTTTAAAAATCTCTTCCTTCCTAATCAAAATTTTTAATTAGTATTGCAGCATATTTATAATATAATACCTGCCCTTCATGCTGATCATATGTTATTATAAGATCTTGAATTACCTTCTCAATCATGGAAGATTACTAAATTATTATTACTTTGCTTTATTGTAATATTGCTTTATTACTTTAGTATTACTGTACTCTAATCAAATAGTGGTGCCCATTTTGATGTGTGGTAGTTTTTATTAACCACTGTATTTTATTAGCTAAGATACACCATTTTAAGTGCTTTGCAGCATTAGAAGTAGAAAACCACATGCAAAAAACAAGTGTTGGAATTTTTGAGAAATGGACATATGTTAACAGAATCTGTTAATTCAATTTTATCTAGAATATTTATAAAGATGTCCTTTATCAGATGTAACTGAATTCTAGATTCAGCTGTTTCATTTTATTTCATTAATATTAAATGTGACATTTTTCCTATTTTTAAAAATTTATTTATTTTAAAAGTGTGATTCATTCTAAAACTGAAAAAACTTGAAAGGGCTTATGACTTTGCTATATCTTTTCTCATGTTTGAGCACTATGGTGATGATGTCTGATCCAAATCTGACTTGGGGACCTTGCTAGTCATCTTTAAAAACAAATAGCACCGAATTCAATAAATCACTATCAACTTAAAAAAACAAAACAAAACAAATAGACACACCCATCCAAATCTTCATTTTTAATCCTTAAAGAGTTTTTTTCCTTTTGTAAAGAACGTATGTGGTTATATATTTAAACTTTTGATAATTCTTTTTGATTAGTTATAATTAATAAAATAAATGGGTATCAGTTATTAATTTGTTTGATCTATGAATTTCTCTTATCTGACAGGTATTCTTTTTTTTCCTTTTGGTTTTAATAGAACATTCAAATAAAAACTTTGGCAGATGATGTGGTAAGGTCTTAGTAGCATGTTGTTATGTTACTTATGCATGTTGCCTATTTTACTAAAGTGGGTGGACATTAAAGCATTGATATATGTAAGATATAAAATATCTATATCTAGATGTTTACAAAGTACAGTATAATGGAAGATTTGTCAAGAGAGTGACTTTTCTTTTAATGGCTATTAAAGAATTATATGAGAGCTAAATAAAATTTTGATATTATCCTGATATATACCTTAACCAAAATTTTTTTTGTATATAAATCTAACTCTGGAAAATACAGATTTTTTCTTTTTTGATAGCCAAGTAAACTGTGACTAAGTAAGAGATTAATATCAGTATTGGGGGAAATTAATTTAAAGTAGAAAGGAAGCTAAGTTTATCATGTTAGATATGTGCTTTTAAATTTAATATTCTTAAATATTTTGATCTGAGGCTATCATAGTAAAACTTATTAAAAGTTATGGGCTTAACATTTAATTAAGTGTGCCCTTTTATAGCTAAACTTTTAAAATACAGTATTTTAAGCAGTGTCAATTTTTTTCTTTGTGAAATTACAAATAATGTAAAATATTGGTGATTCAAGGAGGTAAAAGCATATAGCTTAACTTCATTTTCTTATCAAGTTATTGCTGAAAGCAGAAGCCTATTTTCTAGATAGAAATGAAGGGCATAGTAGAAGATCAAGTATATATGTAAATAATGCTACTCAGTAAAAAGCTTGCACTACAAAAGTGACATGAAGGGACAGGAACAGAGATACATTGATTTAATGGTCGATTGCATATTTAAGTGCTTTTATGTCCACCATATTTTTTAGTGAAATTCGACTGTTGGATATTACTCAAGCTTATTTGGGATTACTTTATATTTTTGTTGAGTTGTTTGAAAATACATATCTAAACCAACTTAATTTCCCTCAAAGAGTTAAAAGAAAATTGGAATATAGTTCAAGATAATTTGAAGAAATGAATCTTAATGTGAACAGTGGGATGGGAACCAGGGACTTATAAATTTAGCGAGTCATTTTTTCTGTGAAATGAGAGAGTTGGTTTAGATGATTTTTCAAATTTCTTCCCAGCTCTAAAACACTGTGATTTATATAATCTATTTGTAGGAAACCATGTACTAAAATAATTTTTGTAATCCTAAATAAGCTACATAAAACTCATATTTCTTTCAAAGTACAGCTTTCAATTTAAAAAAAAGTGTTTTTTGAATCAAAATGAAAAGTATGTTCTTTTAATGGGAAGGGAGTCAACAGAAATTTATGTAAATTGCTGTAATAACTTCTGTGATACAATTTGTATTGTTGAAACAATTTATAAGGACTCAGTAACATGGCAGTGAAGATTACTGTCCTCACATCTAACGTGTGCTTGTTTAACATGAGTTGATGGTATGCATGTGCTTTCTAACAGAAACCAGAATAAAACTGAGTTACATTCAGTTTTATGGACATTACTAATTTTTGAGGTCTAATGTTTTGTGGTTTAAAACAGATTGGGGTGTTTACATGTACCTGCAGTTATTAACACACTTTATGTGAAGTAGCAAGCTAATTATTAGAGATTGCAGTCATTAACACACTTTATGTGAAATAGCAAACTAATTATTAGAGATTATGCTAAGTATTAGAGATTGTACATGGAATCAAAGTTTCAGAGTCAATATCCATAAAACATCAAGTTCTTCATAATAGTATTTGTAGGAATAAGCTATTCCTATGTATGTTAACATTGCCATTAAATGGAAAAGGTGATGTCTTGTTATCCCCAGTTTTTAGGGAAAAAAAGCAAGGGACATAATAGTAACATCAACAATAATAATAAATAGCAGCTAAGTGCACTAAACATATCAACTTATTTAAATCTCAGAATAACTCTGTGGTATAGGTAATATCATTATTTAACATATATTAACTTGTTATCTGTATTTTAAAGACTATTTATTTATTTTAGAGAAAGAGAGAGAAAGAATCTCAAGCGGACTCCACACTGAGCATAGAGCCCTTCATGGGGCTTGATCTCATGACCCCTAGATGATGACCTGAGCCGAAATCAAGAGTTGGACACTTAACCGAAAGAGCCACCAGGCGCCCATTGTTATCCATATTTTAGAGATTAGGAAACAACGCACGTAATTTGCACAGGGTTCCTCAGCTAGGAAAGGGCAGATTCAAACCCAGGCAGTGTGGCTTCAGAGTCTATGTTCTTAACCATTATACTCAACCACTATGTGACAAAGTACATAGATACTTGTCACAATTTTTGGCGCTTTGAAGAGTGAAACATTACTGTAATTTCCCCCTTAGAATTGAATATTGGGGCTCTTTTTATTTCCTTTCTTTATTTCTCATAGTTCAAAAGTTGCCACCAAAGCTACATTTTCCCTTAAACAACCACATGACTTTGATGCAGGACTTTTTTTTGCCTACTTACTGTATAAAACAGAAATAAGAAGGGACTAAGGTTTACTTTTGAGGAATACTTTTCACACCTCAGACTTTGGAGACTGAAGAACTACTACAAGTTTAAAAAATTGTACAATCTCTAACTGGAGCTTGTTGCTTAAAATAAGAGTTTGTCAAAAGACAATAATGATATATATTATACTAAGTGCCATTTTGATGTTTCAGTACTTCGTATTTGTGATTCTGGGTTTCTCTCTTAGAGTTTCTTACTTTTTTCTTTGTAGCGTGACCGAATTACAAGTTTTAGAAAATCTACTGTCAAAAAAGAAAAACCTCTTATTCAACATCCTATTGATTCTCAAGTTGCAATGAGTGAGTTTCCAGCAGCTCAGCCATTATATGATGAACGATCTTTGAATTTGTCAGAAAAGGAAGTACTGGATCTCTTTGAAAAAATGATGGTAAGTTAGACCCCTACTTTTGTTGTAATTTTAAAATTTGTGTGTCCAAAGTAGCATGGGGTTTTAAGTAGGTATGTTTTTATGGACTGTTTTTTTTTTAAAGATTTTATTTATTTATTTGACAGAGAGACAGCGAGAGAGGGAACACAAGCGGGGGAGTGGGAGAGGGAGAAGCAGGCTTCCCGCTGAGCAGAGAGTCCGATGCAGGACTCGATCCTAGGACCCCCGGATCAATGCCCTGAGCCGAAGGCAGACGCTTAATGACTGAGCCACCCAGGTGCTCCTAGACTGTGTTTATATCATGTAAAAGAGACCAGAAGCCTGTTGAAACAACAGAACTATTTTCAGAAGTATCTGTTTTTTGAACAAAACATCCTAACCTATTACTTCTATAGTGAGCTCCAGAAAGCAGGGGCTCTCTTATTTATTTGGGTTCTCTAGTATTTTGTAATCTCTGGCACACTGAATCAATTTTTTAATTAACTAATTTGTGTTTCTGTTTCTGTGAAGTAAAACAGGCTAAATTTCACTTTGCTGAAAACAACACAAGGTATCTTGTTGGGTATATGAAATAGAGTTGGGAAGACAGAGGGTAAAACAAAAACAAAAACATAGAGGAGAAACAATGCCTGGGAAGAGAAGATGGCAGTGGAGTAGGAGGACCCTAGACTTAACTCGTTCCATGAACACAAGTAGATAACTATCAAATCATTCTTAATACCTCAGAAATCAACCTGAAGACTGACAGAACAAACTCCACAAATAAAGGGAGAGAAGAAGCCACATCAAAGAAGGTAGGAAGTGCAGAGATGTGGTTTAGGGGAAAAATGGATCAAAGCTACTGAGGAGGGGAGGGAACTCTGGTCTGGAGAAGGGCTAGAGAGAGAGAGAAAGAGAAGCACATGGGGGGATATACATGGAGAATGTTTCCCCAAAGCTATTGGCTTTGGAAAACAAGAGGGGCTGAATTTCATGAGTTCTTGCAACCAGTAGGGATTAAAGCCTGGAGTTTTGGAAAGTCAGCAAGCTTGGCCGGGATAGAGCCCTGAGGGCACCACCCTGCTCCTGGAGAGAAGGCAGGCAAACAACCCAAGGACAGATGGCGTGGAAACAGCGATCTGAAGAGCACCTGGAATGCATGCGGATTATTTGCTATCTCCTGAGCTTGTCCCTGAGAGGCAGCATTCACTGAGTTACCTCTCTGGGAACAAAGGAGCTGGCTGGAGCCATTCCCCTCCCCCACACATAAGACCATAAAAAGTGAACCAACTGCTGGAAGCAGCACAGCACCAACACTGGCTGCATAATTTGCTAACACCAAGCCCCACCCCTCTGTTCCATTGGAGCTACCCTTCTCAGGCTTGCTTCAGTACCAGCACGGTGGGCCTAACCTCCAGAAGACCAGCATAAACTTCTGACCTCACCACATCTCCTGACCAGAGAGTTTTGCAGGGCCTCAGTTCCAGTGGAGGTGGTGACTCACTTCACAAGCAGACCAGAGCACACCTGGTTAAACTTGCCACATTCAGGCCAGGGACCAACACTGCCCACAGCAGGCAAGGAGAGCTTTTGGAGAATACTGGCCTGAGGGATAGAGCAGCCCCAAAACAACAGCAGAGTAGATGCAGCACATACCATAGACACTCCCTGAAGCTTCAAGCCTTGGGCACTACATGACCTCTTCTTCATAAGGCGGTTACTTTCAGGAGGAGGAGACATAACTGGCTTTTTTAACAGGAAGAAGACAGAGACTTAGAGAAAATGCAAAGATGAAGGAATTTATCCCAAATGAAAGAACAAGATAAGGTCTCGGCTACAAATCTAAGTGAAGCAGATACAAGTAACGTGCTTGATGGAGAATTTAAAGCAGCAATCATAAGGATACTCACTGGGATTGAGAAAAGAATAGAAGACATCGGTGACAGCCTTACCACAGAGATCAAACATCTTAATTGACCTAGCAGTAGCAATTGACACAGTTGATCATTCTCTCCAATTTGAAATGCTTCCCCCCTCCCATACCCCCTAACATTGATTGGGTTTTCCTCCTGCTTCTTTGGCGGCTTCTTTTCAGTCTTCTTTGCTGATTCCTTTTCATGTTCTTAACCTTTAAAGTAGAGGCCCAGGAATCAGTGCTTAGACATCTTTTCCTCTCTACGTTATCTTCTTTGGTAATTACAACCAATACTGTGCTTTTAAATCCCATTTGTGTGCTCACAGTTCTCAAATTTACCTCCATCTTAGTCCTCATGTCTGAACTCTAGACTCATATCAATTCGAAATCAACATATCCATCTGTCCAGTTACTCAGGCCAAAATCTTTGGAATTGTCTTTGACTATTTTTTTTCTTACCTTTAATTCATTTTGTAACCCATTAACTCTTCATTCAAAGTAATTCACATTCATTTTGTAACCCATTAACTCTTCATTCAAAGCTTGGAATAGCTGACCATTTCTTAACTACCTTGACTGTTGCCACACTAGTTGAAATCTTAACCTGGGCTGCCACAACAGTGGTAGGACTATAGGACTACTACTATTAATTGGTTTCCATGTTTCACCATGACCCTCTACAGTATATTTTCAATAGAGAAATATTATCCATTTAAATCCTGAACAATATCATATCAGTTGGCTTATCAGATCTCTCCCATGGCTCCCATTTCACTTGGTGTACAAAAGTCAGTACACTTATAATAGCCTATAAGGCCCTATATGATCTGATCCCCACCTTACCTCTTCAATATCTTCCTGTGCTACTCTCCCCATTTGCTCACTCTGTATCAGAGATGCACCTGCCTTTTTCCTAATTGTAGCCCTAGGAAAACAATGATTCTTGGTAGTTTCTAAATTTTTCAATTTGTGTACAGTGTTTATAGTGTTTTAACACTTTTTATAACATTTCTGTTTTGTGGTTTGAATATTCTAATGTTTATTGAGAATATTATCACTTTCCTCTTTAAATGCGTGTTTTTTTAAAAAAGATTTGTGGATTCATAAATGTGATTTAAAGAGGTACAACTTAGAGCCACGTTTTCTCTATTGGGAATTTTTCTTTCCATGGGGAATTTCAGAATAGGAAGTTAGATAAATATGATTTGATTAAAAGTAACCAAAAGATCAATAAATATTTTTTAAGGATTGTATCTCTTCTTTGAGAGAAGTCTACTTGTACATTGAACATTATGTATTTTCCGTTATCTTTAGTTTGACCATAATTAATTTATAGTGAAGAAGTTATTTTATGAATTATCATAGCTTTCATTTACTATGCACTTACTGGCCAGGCATGTAACTAAATAGTTTATACGTGTTATTTCAGTTGATCCTTATGAAAATGCCACAAAGTAGGCAACATAATACATTTTTAGATAAGGAAATTGAAGCTAAGAGAGAGTCTGAACAAATTGGTTCTGTAACTTGCCTAAGCTAGTAAGTGGCTGAGCTGGAACATAAATTTAGGTACATAAAAATGTAAAAAAATGGCATTTTTGTAGCATCTATCTTTTTTTAAAAAGATTTTATTTATTTATTTGAGAGAGCGAGAGAGAGAGAGAGAGCACAAGCAGGAGGAATGGCAAAGGGAGAGGGAGAAGCAGGCTTCCCGCGGAGCAGGGAGCCCAATGCGGGGCTCGATACCAGGACCCTAGGATCATGACCTGAGCTGAAGGCAGATGCTTTATCAACTGAGCCATCCAAGTGCCCCTTGTAGCACCTATCTTTAATAATGTTTCATTTAAGCTAAATATAAAATTAATAAATTTTCCTTGTACATATACTCAGTGGAAGTAGAAGGCAAGTCAGAAGTATATTGGTTAGTAGGCAAAGCCAGTTTGGGATGGATTATTTCCTACTGATGATGCAAAGTTGTCTGTAATCTCTTTTTACAAAGCATCAGTTGAAAAGAAAGAGGCTGAAAATTTATAATGGAAAACTGTTAAAATGCCATTATCTAAATTGATTGGGAGAAGACACTTAAGTGGTTCTGTTTCTAAAAGACAAGTAGATTTCCCAGCATGAAATTTCTTTTATTTGACTCTGTAGGTGTCCTTTCTTGTACAAATAAAGTAATAGATGTTCTTGTCCTACTTGATGGCCATTATGATACTCTTGTTTTTCTTGATTCTCACCTTTTATTGTGCTATTTCTGTTGATTGGCTTTTTTACACTTTGGTGAACTACAAATAAACATTTAGGCCATTTGACCTAAACACTCAATATGTGTTTTAGGATACATACCAAGGTATAAAATATTCTCAAAAATTGTACAAAATAGCACAACATTATACACAGTAATCATTTATGAGATGCTTGACAAGAAATAAGTTACCTTAAAGCTGCTGGTAAAATTTATTATTTGGAATTTCTGGGTAATGATGTATTTTGGTAAGACTTTTGGTGAAAAGCTTAAATAATGAAAGGTAGTAATTCAAATATAATCCTATTTTGATAATTGAAACTCTTGTTATGCTTGAGGATCATATCTCTCAACAGCAATTCTCACTGTACTGGCTTGTAAATGGATATTAGGGGATATTGGGTTAAATCTGGAATTACTATAGGACATAATTTTTTAAGTACTAACTCTGATTACTATAACTCTTAGTTCATTACTAATAGCTTGTTTTAAAAATCACTTGACTCTTTATTGCTAAGTAAAATCATGCAACAAGTTCAGTTAGCTGAAAGATCTGAGTGGTTGGATTTTACTAGTGTATTCATAAATTACTAACGTTCTATTGATTCTGATATCTGTTTTATGCATTGGTATGTCACTTTTCATATTGTAGATATTCAGTGAAACAATTGTAGACGGATCTTTTGCCTAATGGTATCAATGGCTATCGCTGACAGATTTTAAAGCTCCAAATTTGAAAGTTTTAGATGATTATTTTATGAAGCACATGCCCTTTATTAGCAGCCTGTCTGCAATAGTTTATAAGACTGAATTTTGTACTTAAGAGTATAGTCACTGAGTATTAATTGAAAATTAGGAAGCATTTCTATTAAAACTTTCAAGAATGAAAAACACTTGTTTTTATATGATTTTTATAATTAGCAGCAGGAGTAAATTATGCTTGCTCTTTAAGATTCTTGTTCCCCTCCTCTGCCCAGAGTCATATTTTCAAATGTTTCACAAGTGGGTAAAGGTAGTAGGACCAAAACAGCAATACTGCTACATTTTTTTTTTTTTTGCTGACTGTAAAAGATGACTGAACTATAGTAGTATTACATATCATCTTTAACCCAGAATTCAAATTTGAATGAGATTCATATTTGTAACCTTTTTCATGTTAATCAGAAGCATTTTGTATTGCTTCTAATTAGATTGGTGAAATGTCTCCTCCTTTCCACTTTAAGTAAATTAATACTGGTGTAATTGAATAATTATTCAATATTCTAAGTTTCATGGCCTTTGAGCTTACCATGGCCTTTGAGAATAACTGAACTGGTTTTTGCACACTGAGTATACTGCCTAAGGACTATTAAATATTTAGTAGTGGTAACTTGTTTTTATACAAACTGAATTAATGGCAGTTAGAACAAGGAGAGAGATATGTCTGGACACTTGTGTTTCCTTTTGAGTATTATTACTCTTTTGTATGCAGTTCTTTTTGGGGGAGTCGAGGGAGAGGGGGTTTCCATTTTAAGCTTAAAAAATAGACATATCGAGACTTCTTGGAAACTCAAGTTGGAATTTGATTTCTATTAGCTAGCAGAAGGATCTATTGAGTGGAGGTCCAGCTTACATTG